CCAGATACTCTCACTTGATACATTATCCACTTCTGTGTTATTTGTACTTTGCTCAGTGAGCCGGTTTTATTTTTATAAATAAGGATAAATTTAAATCGCTGAAGCCCACTTGGGGTGAATCGCAGTTCCCCTCCCCAAGCCGACCGGCGCAGCCTCGGCCCGCTGCCGTCTGGGCCTGGCTGCAGGGTGTGTGTCAGCGCCCTGGGCTCCAGCCCCTGGACGCCAGGGCAGCCCTCCGCCGAGCCGCGGTGCCAGCAGCGTGTCCAGACCTCGAGGGGCGCCCCCTGGCGCCGGCGTGTCCGTGGCTGAGAGCCCCAGGGCAGGTGCTGTCCTGCCAGTGTGCGTTTCTGTCCATCCTCAGCGTCGTGATGAAGAGCGTCGCTCTCCGTTTGAGCATCTCCCACACCTCTTGGGTCCTCCATGTGGAATTCAGAAGCCTTTCAACCAGAGCAGACAAATCTTGTTTCTCTTTCTCTATAGTCAATGAAACTAACTGCCATTGACCTGTCACCAGATAGTCAACAGACCCCACATCTCTCTGTGGGTTTTTTTTCTACTCAAAAAAAAAAAAAAATGTTCTTTAATTGGAGGAAAATTTCTTTACAGTGTTGTGTTGGTTTCTGCTGCGCAGCAATACAGTTCAGCCCCAATTATTCGTCTGCCCCCTCCCTCCAAGCCTCCCTCCCCTCCCCCAGCTCACCCCTCTAGGTCTTCACAGAGCGCCAGCTGGGCTTCCTGTGTTAAATAGCACCTTGTCACCAGCTGTCTATTTTACACGTTGTACTGTGTATATATGTCGATGCTGCTTTCTCCATTCATCTGTACACCTTTCTGAATCTTGGGGTGGGGGGTACCGGATTTATTTCATCAGCAGCTTCTGCAAAGAAGGGGCTTCAGATGCTTAACAAGTTTCATTAAGAACCTACCTATTAAAATATTCAAAACATATAGCCTGTTCCTCTTGAGGATTATAATTATGCAGTAGATTAGCTGCTGTCCAGTCTGTTGCCTTTAGACCACGTCGTGGATGTTTCCAGTACTTACCTAAGACATAGGGCCTGTTTATTAAAGAGGCTTCAACTGTGTATAAAACTCGAACAGTCAAAAGTAATGGTGTCTTCTGAAGGATTCTTCATCATATGAATTTACCTTTAGTCATCTATTATTTATTTCAGCTATTTTATATGCCATTATAATAAATATTATGACAGAGAAAGCTTTTACGCTTCAACTTATTGTACTCCTTTCTCCTTGCCTGCAACCCTTCAGGAAGATGTAACCGTGCTTCGCCTATAGTTAACGTAAATCATCACTCACAGTCGGGTGAAAAATTCACTATGGAAAAAGGCTCTTTCTTCAACAGCCAGGCGTAAGTGCCCGATCATGTCGGCTGCCAGACTCCCGTGCCATTTGCCATCCTCTTAAACTGTTTTTAAGCTGCAAAGTGAATGCGTAGCAGAGAGGGAAATTGGAAGGTTTTCGAATAATTTTCCCTCTCTTGTTAGTTTCTGGCAAGATAAGCATTTTTTTTTTAATCCGGAGTGCAAAATACTGCCAATTACTGGCTAAGCATCTTTAATAGTTTTACTTTACGTGGTGCATAAGTCACACACCAAATTAAATAAGCCGTTATGCGGTGCAGTTTCTCCTTGAATCAGCCTCACAATCACCTATAGATATTGAAACAGTTATTTTATAAATTGAGTTCCAGCAACCCAAGGCAGAAATGTTGGCCTATGTGTAATGAAACAAGGATTGTCATGATTTTCTCATTAGGCATGTTGATCACTGTATTTTGGAGGGAGGGCGGACTTTGGGTGGGGGGAGCATTTGTGGACGCTCAGAAGTGAAGGTTCCTGCTTGATGGTTGATCTGAAGGTCAGGAATGACAAGGTCAACCCCTCTCCTTCAAGGCTTGAAGGAAAACCCAGGGCTTTGCTAAGGGGCGTTTCTGGTTTGGTTCCCTATTTTAGAAATTGGACTCTTCTTTAAGAGCATTTTCCTAGTTAAAGGCACAGAGGTGTACAAATTGATGTAAGTGTGAAGAGCCAAGAAGGAGACTATTAAACTCTGCCTTCTCCTTGGTTAGAAATGCTGTTTCAGAAAGAGCACTTATCAGAACATCCTTTTGTTAAAAAAATATTCATTTATTAACATTTTGGCTGTGCTGGGTCTTAGTTGAAGCTTGCGGGGTCTTCGATCTTCGTTGCAGCATGCATGACCTTTAGTTGCGATGTGTGTGACCGTTAGTTGTAGTTTGCAAAGTTGTGCATGTGGGATCTAGTTCCCAGGCCTGGGATCAAAAACACAGGCCTCCTGTATCGGGAGTGTGGAGTGTTAGCCACTGAACCACTAGGTCAGTCCCCGATCAGGGCACCCTTTTTATCTTTAGGCTTGTTCAAGGTTGGGCAGACTCGCCATCTAGCTCACTCACGATGCTGATTTGGGTTGCCCTCCTGAGACGTACACGAGCCAAAAGGAGACCAAGTCCCCCTCTGCTCCTGCCTTTCCCAGCAAAGAGGTTGGCACCCACAGCCACAGTGACATCCCTTCCATAACACTGGAGAAATGAGCCTTGCGAAGGCCCACATAGGGTACTGACAAATTACGGAACCAGCGTAGTTAGGTCTGTATTGCAGTTCAGCGAATAATGTCATGTCAATGACGCTCATCGCCGGTGTCTCCCGCCGCTGTAAATGTGACAACTCCTATTTAAGGTTTCAGAACATAAAATCAGGACCAAGCATATGTAAAGTGGAAGGGCGAGAGGCATCAGCATAATGCAATTAAGGCACATTGGATTAGAATTTGCAGGGTGCCATTAGCAATAAGCTCTGAATGTACATTATTGTCTTGGTTACATTTTCTCCTTCACTACTAGGCTTCTCTTGTAAATTCTAAGTGTATGAAATAAATATGATGTAAAATAGACACAAACAAGAATATATAGAAGACGTTAATTTCTTGATAGCTTTTCAGTGTCAGGCATTGAAGAATATGAGAACAGGGCTAGAGCCAGTAGTGATAATCCAGCGAAGATACGAGTGTTGGAACCAGTCAGATCTCAGTTCGAGACGCAAATCAGTGTCTAGGCAGTGCCGCTTTAAAATGTAAAAGCCTCTGTTTTCTAGCCTGTGAAATGGGGTAAATGATAGATACTTCAAAAGACTTTCCCTATGACTCTTCAATGAAAAATAAGTGCCAAGCATATCATGTGCCCTGCTCTGTCACTCAGCCATGTCCAGCACTTGGCGACCCTGTGGACTATAGCCTACTTAAGTAAATTTAGTGAAATAAGGAAAGACTGCAATTGATAATATATGCCTTATGGTTGAAAAGCAAAGAATCGGTGTCATGTTCTAACAGTGGTTTTACAAATGATGATAATTGTTATTTCTGTGCCTCGTACCTCATATGCACCATGCCTAATCTTTACCCTTACCATTTAATGCAAATGCCCATTTCAGCCTGAATGCTGAGGCCCAGCACAGTCACACAGCTCCCCTGAAGTCAAACAGCCAGTGCTGTCGTCAGGCTGGACTGTGGCTCCTCCTGGCCAGCCTGACTGCTGTCCCTGTGGGTGACGGCATCTTCCCTCTTTTCTTTAAGTTCCACACAATCCCCATATGGTTCCTTTGGTTTTAGGCAGTGTCACGCCTGAGTCATATTTGGCTAATTACAGTCATACATTGGTATGAGGGGCTTCCCTGATGGCTCAGAGGGTAAAGCGTCTGCCTGCAATGTGGGAGACCTGGGTTCGATCCCTGGGTTGGGAAGATCTCCTGGAGAAGGAAATGGCAACCCACTACAGTATTCTTGCCTGGAAAATCCCATGGACAGAGGAGCCTGGTAGGCCACAGCCCATGGGGTCACAAAGAGTCGGATGTGACTGAGCGACTTGGCTTTGCTTTGCTATCGGTATGAGAGAGCAGTCTTGCGTAACAGCGAGAACCCCCTTGATTCTGCACTTGTAGACTCTTGAACCACTGAGACAGGTTTTGGGAACTTAATAAAGAACAACCCAAGAAGACTCATTCTGGCGAGAGTATCAGTGGACTGTGCCACCGCCTGGTGTCCCCTGACTTCCAGGAAAATGGAAGAAAACTATGTGGGTTGCTTCATTACTCTGTCTTTTGGCTGAACCTGGGGGTGGCTGGGAGCAGTTGGGTATCTCAGCTTCTTAGACATTGCCTGATGCTTCACGTGTGGGGTGCCACCTGTGCATTCCTGCTCTAGAATGATGGGTACCAGCATCTGTAGACAAAGTTTAAGGTAAGTTTGCATTCCCCTTTTACCTGAGATGATAAGCTTGTGTACACTGGTGTGGTTAAATAAAAGAGCGCGGATTTGGGGAAGGGTTGGATAGGCATTTTGTAGCATTTAAAGATTCAAAGTTTAGTAGGAAGTTGTCTCTGTCAGCCAAAGCTATGTGGGGGGCTGGTTGGCTGGGTGGCCAGCTGGATAGATGGGTAGATGGGTAGAGAGGAGGGAAAGGGGGAGGGACATAGGGAAAGCTAACAGTTAATATTGGGGTGGTGGCATTGTAGATACTTTTTTGTCCGTATTCATCTGTCTTTTCTAAATGTTTCTATGACTAGTGAAAGTATGAAGCAGGAAGTGGCCTGAAATGAGCCTGGAGAGTAGAGAGGGCAAAATCATGGACTGTGCGTTGGTTGTTACTATTTTCTCTTCTTGCTGGGCATGTGGAGGGCTGCACCTTTTTGAAGCTAGGCATAGCCGCAGAACGTGCTCTGCCAACAAAATGCTAGGAGAAGCAACACCTGTCACCACAGGTGGGAGCTCATGACATTGAGTGTGCAGCCATGTTCTCTTCCCCACCCTGGAGAGGCTGGTGAAGTCACAGAGGATGGAAACACCCACGGACCCACCTGCCTGGGCCCGTGGCCAGTCACAGTGACCGCAGCCCCACTGACCTGGGAGGGACATGAGGCATGAACAAGTCATAATCCTTGGTTTTCTTGTGACATTGAGGTCTGGGGCTTCTTCCTTGTTGAAGGTAATCTTGACTGATACAGAAGCACTTGTGTGAGCCACTCAGTAAGGGATCTGGGCCGTATCTTATTGGCCATTCCAAGCTACAGAAGTGTTTTAAGCTAGGAGTGTGTGTGTGTGTGTGTGTGTGTGTGCGTGCGCGTGTGTGTTGCGAACCTAGAGCACAGAGACTGGCCAGACAGGGTCTGAACTTCTTACGTCCTGGTTGGCGTATGCTGATTTAACATCTTAGTTGAAAAATTCAATGATTTTTTAGTGGTGATGGAAGAGTTCTATATCTTGAATGTGGTGATAGTTCTATGAAATTCTGCATGTGATAAAAATGTCATAGAATTATATGCATAGATATTTCAAATAAAAGAAAATGAGTGTATCCCCGAACTGGTGAAATCCAAGGAACATCTGGAGTCTAATGAATTACTTTGTGACTATGTCGATTTTCTGGTTTTGATGATATGCTGCTTGGATTAGTCGTCCCCTCTGGGGGATGCTGGGAGATGGGTATGTGAGCATTTTCGGGTACTGTGTTTGCCACTTCTTGAGAGTCTATAATTCCTTCCAAATTAAAGTTAACAACAACAGCAGAAATGAGTTATACCAAGAAAGCGGATTGTGGTCAGTCCCAAATTCATAGACTCAGCAGGAAAGCTCACACTGGCAGATGGGGCCTCTTGCTTTCACCTAGCAATCAGCAGTTTATCCCTCAGAAATGCTCTCTGTTTGCAATCCGCCAGCCCCTGCCTTCTCATTTGGAGCACGTCCCATGATAAGAACATTTCTATCACATTGTGAAGTTTGTTGGACAACCGGAAGAGCAACACCCCCCCCCAACACACACACACATATCAGCACATTTGTGCACCCTCTTCCTAAAAGCTGTGTTTTCTCTTTATGGGGCTTAACCAAATTGCATGTGCAGCCCCTCTGCATTTCTCAGGGTCTGTAGCAGAAACAGGAAACCTGATACCGAGGGCAGGGGGAATTACCTGAGTAATTGGGTGTGGACTTGAATCACTGTCCCCAGGAGCCCAGTAACCCACCGCCTGTGGATTAGTCTGTTGAACTACTTGATGGCTTGTGACCCCTCGTTCCCCCTGGATACGTATGTTCTGATTTTGTTCTTATTGGTGGTGGCAGCCCTGTGCTTTATCTTTCAGCAAGGGGCGAGGTGGGGGGTGGCAGGGGGCAGTACCAAAAGACAGCTTACCACGTGCAAACGGCACATTAGAAGAACACATCCGCCCGTTTGGCCACACCATCGCTTTCATTGGAATTTTCGCTTTGGGGTCGCCATCTGGGAATGTTCTCCCTGTTTTATGGGGGAGGAATGTACATGCATTCTTTTCTAATATGTAGCCAGCACATTCCTCGGGGGTTTCCATCAGGGACTCACTCAGCTGAGAGGAGCGATGTCTCTCTTTAACCACCCCTCTGTTAATAGGAGAAATATCCTGTTTTCCTCTTGAGATCCATTCAAAGCTCCATAAGATTCTGTGTTGGCGACGAGTGTCATGCTCTGCGCCAGGGGCGGCTGGGGCCCGAGGAGCAGGATGAGGGTGAAAGGGCACTTGAGTTGCCACATCTGAACATCAGAACCAGTAGTTGAGCATTCAGGAGGCATAAGAATCTATGGGGAAGGGAAGTTAGCCATTTTGACAGACGTCCCACTCCAAAGAACTGAGCCATAGATAAACATCCATCACGCAGACAGAAAGCTGGGGGGCGGGGGTGGGTGGTTTGCTCCCCATCCGGAGTCCCGAGCCCTCTGTACAGGGTACGGCATCACTCAAGTGTAGTCCCTTCTCCTGGTGGCAGTTTTCCTTCATATGGGATGAGGGCCGTGGCCTTGCCTTACCATGAGCCCTCCGGCTCTCATATTCCCTGATCTCAGGAAGCTCTAATGAAACCCACGTGTTGGCACTCTCCTCTGTTCCTGGATCAGGTTAGATGCTTCTCCTTCCTCCAGAATCTGCAGGTGTGTGCAGCTGCTGCTGTTACCTGAGGAATTTAAAATCCACTTCGGCCAACTTGCCTCTGCCAGACTGTTGGCGTTTGGGGAGGTCACTCAATTCCTCTCTACTGCCTTTCCTGAAACTGGGCCCTATTAGTGGCAGGACCTGGATCCTCCAGGATCCAACAGTGATCTGGTACGACGAGGTCTTCGGGGGGAAGCCTCACTTGTTGTGAACACAGTTTCACCCACCCTGCTGCCCTGTCACCCTCCTGAACAACCATTTATTACACAGTGGCCTCGGGGAGAGAGCTTGTCACTATGGGCATCTTCCCTCCTCCAGTTAAATTGATGAAACACCTTCTGTCTTCTAGGCAGGCTGTTAGACATTTTGCACTTAGCCTCACTACTCTGTGAGTAGATAACGAGCGTTTATCATTTACAAGTGAGGAAACTGAGGCTCAGAAAGGTTAGATGGCCCAGAGTCTGTGTGTATTCCAGCTGCGTCGGCCTGGTGCTCACTGTCCAAGGCCTGGGACTCGGGTCGCAGTCCAGGACTTCGATGGCCAAGGTGAACTGCAGACACAATAAGCATCTCAGCACAGCTTGTGTGTGCGTCCAGGTGGAGGGTGTCCTCTGCCGAGCCATGCGCATCCCCTTCATAGCATCCGAGTCTCATGTGATTCTCGCTCGTCTTACTTCAGCATCGCAGTCTCGACAAGGATTCCCAGGTTCACCGCTTATCTTATGAGAATCCACTTACCTGAACAGGCAGGTAGCCTGGCTGTCTGTGCTGAGGAGAGAGATCTAAGAAGTGGTAGCATTTCAGCCCACACAGCAGAGTCCAGCCAGACTTAAAAATCGGGAGGGCCTGGTAAACACAGGGCCTGTCTGAAAGGCATGGTCTTTCCAGAACTGTGCTGGGGGCCATGCAGTGGAATGGGGTGGCTTCAGTGACTGCTGTAGGGCTTCTGGTGTGTCTCCAGGAGGGAGTTTGGGCTTCAGTGTCAGACTGACTTGAGGTCTCACCAGCCACACTTCTTAGCTCTGTATTCAGTCTCTTATAAGATGCCACAGTGTAAAATAGGCCAAATAAAAGGTACCCTTCAGTCATCCTGAGGGTGACATGAGATGATGCCTGTAAATGCCCGCCCACCGTCACCCGAGGTTAGACATCAGGAGCATCATTATCATCGCCCGCGTGTGCCTCACGTCCACAGAGTTCACGGGGTCTCTGAACCTGGCTCATCTGCCTCTCTAAAGCAGGGAGTGCAGAGCTGTTGCCTTTGTGCCCTCTGTCCACGCCTTGCGTTCCGTTTCTGAGGCAGGCTTGGGGGGTCATTTCAGCGCCCAGACGGCAGCGTTTGAGATTTCCACGTGGCCTCTGGTGGTCTTGCAGGAGGTGGGCCTCGTCCTGGTGTACCCCTGTCATTATAGTTTCTTTTAGGAGGCACTTCCAGAGGAGACACGTGAGCCTCTGGACCCTGTGGATCCTGTTGCAGGCGCTGAGTCAAACGGCACAGCCCCTCAGCCTGGAGTTTTAGCAGAGTCCCAGCCTCCCATCCTCCCTAAACTTGGCAGTAAAAAGCCCCGTTCTTCTATTCATTCTGATGATTTATATTCTCTCTGGGCGTCTAATATTAAACAGGGGAATTCCGACATGTTCCATAACACATTGACTGTAACTTGATACCATGAACTAAACTTGCTGTTATTTATCATTTCTTTTTATTTTCTCTCATTCCAGCACAAAGCCAAGGTAGAAGCAATGACCCTGGACCTTGCTCTGCTCCGTAGCGTGCAGCATTTTGCTCAAGCGTTCAAGGCCAAGAATGTGTGAGTGTTCCAGAGGAGGGTTATAGATCATAATATCTCGCCATTGTAATGTCTTTATCAGATGAACACAACCGGGAAGACGGAAGGCTATTGTGCTGTCTTGGCGTCCAAACCGGAGGCTCATTTATACTGGCCCGGTCGAGGTGTACCGTATTTTTTTGACTCTGAGCCCCCCTCATTATGAGGTGTGTCATCAATCTCATAACAGCCTCCCAGATAACAAGAAAAAGATACTACTAAGCACCAGTAAAAAGCGACCTCATAAAAGCCAGCTGATTGTAGGCTGCATCCTGATCGCAGACGTCTTCAAGGCGCCTCCCAGAATCGAGGAGAAGTTATATTTTAATTGCACTTAGGAAGAGGTCAAGTCAGCTCTCTAGTTCCACAAGGGGGCTGAACCTCAGAGTACGGGGAAGAAGGTTTTACTGTTTCGCAAACCTGCGATGGTTTTACGTGGCACATGGACACGGTTCCAAAAGTGTGGGCTCACATCTGAGAACTTCTGTTTTTCCATTCTTTCTCAAATTTTTCAAAAATGCCTGAAGGAGGGAGCCTTCGCTGAGGACTGGCAGATTTTTTTTTTTTTTGGCCATCCGTTACCAACTGCCTTCCCTAACAGAGAGCGAGCAGCTCTTAAAGCCAGAACTGAGGAGAGCAGTGGTGGTTAGCTTCCTTTTCATTACATATTTTGTTTCTAAGTGTTTATTTTTACAGTTCCCTCTGATTTTTTTTTTTTTTTTTTAGGGCAAGCAATACTGGTTTCTCATTTAACATAGCGGTTTAAATTTCTTTAACAAATCACTTCGTTTAATTTTTCTTTTCCAGTGAGTTGATTTAAACACAAGGATTAAGTTAATAATAGTGCGTGGGGTGCCAAGGGTAAAATCATTCCGCAGTCAGCACCAGAGTCCCCGAGTTTGGAGTAGGCTGATCCATGACAAGCAGTCTCAGGGTTGGCCTCTGTCAGGGTCGCTGGTTTTTTTTTTTTCCTTTTTTTTTTGTTTTGTTTTGTTTTGTTTTGTTAGGGTCGCTGGTTTTAACAGTTCTCTGCAGAGATGATGGATGAGAGGGGAGGTGTCTCAGAGCAGATGTTCAGATGGCGTGATGTTGACCCGACTCCTCAATGCTGTCCAGTGGCCAATCCTTCTTTCTCCCTTCGTTTTCTCACTCGTTCTTTTTAGACGGTTGAGAAGTCTGTCCTCTAAAGCGCTTTCCGTAGCAAGCCTGAGTCCTTGAGATTGAAATGTCAAGTCCCAGTCTTCAGTGAGATCTCCACTCGCCCCACCCTGACCCCAGGGGCTGCCCTGTGCTCCAGCGAATAGCTAGCTGGGTGTCGTCCCCAGGCCAGCACACCTCGGTGAGCCCTACTGTGCACTCTCTCGGCAGGGATTATAACTGCCAGCCCTCGCCAGAGCTCCCAGAGAACCTCACGTCAAGACAGAGCTGTAGCTCTTTAAACATTTGCCCTTTCCTCCCTTCATGATTCATTTATCCACTTGCTTCTTCACTTAACACGCGTTTAACACATGCCTCCAAAGCCCCAGGCTCTCTTCTCGGCTCGGGAAAGAGAGTGGTGGCTGGTGGAGGCCTAGTTAAGCTCACCCAAGCCATTGTGTGAGTTGCCAGCAAGCAGGCAGTGTTTAACTGCTGGCAGCCTACTCCTCGACTTAGTATTTCTGCGGTTGTTTGGAAGAGAACAGCAGTAATAATATCAACCATAGCAGCAATAACAGCTCGTTTCTCGAGAGCTTATTCTGAGCCCCACACCCAGTACCTCTGTGCGCTTTTCCTGGCTTAGTTCTCCAAGCAGCCCTCAGGGTGAGTGCCGTCATTGTGTCTGTCACGCAGTGGAGGAAAATGAGACCAGAGAGGGTGCGTTATCCGAGGGCACGCGGCCAGCCAGCGGGGCGCTGAGGCTGGGCACGCCCGGGCAGCCCGCCTGCCGGGCTACCTTGCTGCACTGTCTGTTGTTCTCAGTGGGTGGGAAACCCGAGACCCGAGGCAGTGAGTAACTTTGGCTGGGTGTCTTGCAGGTTGGCGGCAGGGGCAGCATTTCTAGCCGCCGTGCCTCTCTGCTGTCGCCCCGACACCACGCCGCTCTCGGGGAAGGTGGGACGCACTGCCTCCTCATGCTCCCTCCAGTCCTGGTGTCAGAGCTCGCTGGAAGGAGACGTTTAGCTAGGGAGAGCCAGTGGTTACATAAGAGGACTGCCTTCCAAGTCTTAATGGGACCATTCGTTTTTCACCATTAAGGAGTTCAGAAATCATCAAAGCCAACTGCCTTCTGTGATCACCAAGCCCAAACTCTGGGGGAAAAGCGGTCATCCATTCCGCCCTAATTCTGGATTTTAGCAAATGAACTCTGAACTTCCGTACTCCTCGGTTCAGTAACAAAAGCAGTTTTCCTCTTAGCCAACCCCGTGCCACGAACCTCCTTTCATCAGTCTCTCTAGGGTCGAGTAGTTTTTACATGGACTTAGAGAAATAGGCATGAAAATCCCACACAACTTTTCCTTTGGAAGACCAGCAGGGCGAAGTTTTCCCTGGCCAGGCAGATGACAGTTCAGCACTCACAGGTCTGTGGATTCTGAGAACCGTCAGAAGCGAGTTCAGGTGTTGGTGACTGAGCTTCCAGAAAAACACGTGTCACTCTCCTCCTATCTCCAGCTCCCATCTTTGACTTTAAGGTCTCCTTGTGTGTAAGACATAATGGCAAACGAAGGAGAGGCTGCCCGTGCTGGCCCCATTCCGTTCTGCGCCCTTGGACTGAGGAGAGGAGAAACCCGTCCACTGAAGTGCCCCGTGGACGCTCGCACTTAGCAGGCTGTGCCGAGGCCTGCCTGCGAGCCCGCCAGGAGCCCGCTCTGCGCTTTTTACCGCGTGTGCCCCCTCGGTTCAGGCCCCGGCCCAGCGGCCTCACCATCCCAGGGCCGGCAGCAGTGCTTGTGGCCCGAGCCTGGAAGAGGTGGAAACAGGTGTAAATGTGGACCTCTTTAGAAGATGCAGCTCATGGTACAGAAGAGCCAGTCTCCTTCCACCTTCTGCCGGGAGGGCGGGTGGCTTCAGCCTCTTCTTGGGTGGTGGCATGGGGAGGGGACTGAGCCTTTTCAGAATGAGCCCTGCTAACAGTGATTATGCAAATCATAATTCCTCTCTGACAATTGTTTATTCCGTGCAAGGCAACACGCTTGGCACTTATGCCCACGTTCTCTCTCTAATTCCTTACAGTCATCCCCAGGCATGACTCATTTTATCTTCGTTCCCAGTGGAAAGGCTCCAGCTTCTCACCGAGAGGCCAGCTCTCTTTCCTAACTTTAGCAAGTGACAGATCCCAAATTGGAACCCAAGTCTGTCTGAATCCAAAGCAGCCCCGCTTCCTGTTCCACCTCACCCTTCATGTGTTTTCTTCAGTGTGGATTTCTGGGTTGGTAGGAATTACTGAGGACCAAGTTACTCAGAAATTTAGGGGCCAGACACCGTTCAAGGCAATGGTATTCTGTTCTCTCTCAGTCTCCTTAAATCAGAAATTAAATAAGGTCAGTGCCTCTTAGCCTATATGTTTTCCTTCAGTTTTTTAATTTCTTTCTTTCTTTCTTTTTATTTAATGCAGCATATTTGTTTCAAGGACAGGTGTGTCCTCTAGAGTTTTCTGTGGTCTGTATTTCAGTGACTGCATCCCAGTGGTGTCATTCAGCTGGTTCTTTTGTCTTCTGTGTTTCCTGTGAAATGGTAGCCAACACTGAAGGCTCGGTCAAATTCCCGTTTAATTTTTATTTGGCAAGAGTGGTCGGTAGGTGGTGGTGGTGTCTTCAAGCCAGTTTTCATGAAGCTCTGCACGCCCCGACCGACCCACCCCTGCGCCCGCGCGGTCTGTCTGTCTGCCCGCTCCCCCTCGCCCCCCATCCCTCCTGTCCCCCTGCACCCTTCTTCTGGGTGGTCAGCCCAGGAGGTCTCAGTGCTCCCAGGGCACTTCCCCCTAGCGTCAGTGGTGGTAGTGGTCGGCCAGTGTGTCTCAGGTCCAGTTATTTTGGGGCATTACTGGAAAGTTCCAAACCAAAGCCTGTGGTCAGTCCCAGCCAAACTTGAGTTTTGCAGGATATTTTTGTTGAAACCGCAGTCCTGGAGAGCAGCCAGCCTCGGTGCTCCTGCTGCCCGGCTGGTCAGGGCCTCCGTCAGAATGAGAAGTGCTCGGACCCTTCCTGACGACTGCCACCGAGCGTCAGGGTTCTCTGCAGGGGGCTCCGGGGCAGCAGGGTGTTGTCTGGGACGCCTCTGCATAGGTTCAGCCGTGGCGCTCACTGCATAACCTGCCGAGAAGTGTTCATTCTGAACAGGCCCTGTGACAACGGTTCAGGGGTTGCTCGCTTCTGTATTTCCTTTATCAGATGCTGTTTCACGGTGTGAGTTCTATATGTTCCTGAGATAACGGACACCTGGATTCTGGTTTTGAAATTGAAGTTTCAGTGATGGCACATAATATAGGAAATTTATTGCTTGACTTTCCATTACCAATCAGCTCTTATATTATCTAAGGTCTTTGATTCATCATAGAAATGAATGGAAGTTGATCATAAGATAATTTTAAAATAACACTTGAAATTATAAAGATTTCTAGAACTTTGTTTTCATTGTGGATCTCTACTTTCCTTTTTCAACTTTCTATTTCCAGCAGAATTTAAGGAAATCAGGCTTTATTTCACTTAAAAATACTTAAAATACTTTCACTTAAAAATTGGATAATAGTGTTTAAAGAAAAATCAAAAGAATACTTTTCCAGTTTCCTCTTTGCTGTTTATACATTTGAGGGAGAAATCTTAACAAAGTTGTTTATTTTCACTTTTTAGAACTTGAAAGTTCAGGACATTCAGAAAGTACTAATCCCAGATTTAATTTTCTTGGATTCTTATTGCCAATTTTGCTGTCTCCAGTCCTTCTACAGAAGTGGGTGGTCTATAAATTATAAATAAATCCCAAATTTTGAGGGCTAAATTACACTGCAA